AGGAGGTTAAACACTTATTTCAGTGTTTCTAAATTCTTTCGGCACGCTTTTGCCGTTTTATACATATGCCGATTTGCACTTATGCCTATTTTTGCAATTGATTCCCACTTAAGCCAGTGTTTACAAATACGTTTTGCGCAGTTATAAAATTTGCACTTATTTAGTTGCCCCTCAATTAGACCTTCCCCCTCCACTCTTGATGAGTTATAAAACCCACCCTTGCCCTATTCTCAGTGCCGCAGACAGCCAACACCGACCCCAGGGAAAATTTAACTGCGGCCCCTACCTTAAGGGCCGTCGACAAAGACGTCTTCCAAAAAGGAAGAGGGGGAGGGGTCAAGATAAAAAGGGAAACGTTAAATCCAATCCGTCAAAGTGCTGTTTGAACAGTTTTTAAAAATTGCCTAAAACATGATCACGTTCTTTATGGATGGCCCTTAGTTAGAAATACGCACTATTTAATAAAATTTTTTTCAGAATTTTATTCTTTTCTTTTGCTCCTTTTTTTTTTTCTTGAGGGCCCTTTTTCTTACGGACCTCAGAGCAATGTATCCTGATCCCCTCTCTCTCTCTACGGACTTTACTGGGTAGTATACTTAAATAAAATAAAGAAATTCGAGGGTTTTCAATATTATTTTGAAAAAATTTGAAAAATGCAAATTTGAATTTGAGAACGCAAATTCGAAAAATCAAAATTGAGACAAATTCGAATGAATTTGACCGAGCTTATCATATAGAATGCGCAGTCTCAGATGGGTTTTTCTTTTTTTTTAAAATTTTGGTTTAGTAAATGCAAAAATTATGAAACATTCTTCGAGTGACATTTAGATCATGGAAAAAGTTAAAAATTTCGAAAAACATATGAAAAAGAACAACAATTCTAAGACATATTATTAATATTTACAAAAAAAATTATTTTTTTATGAAAAACTATGTTAATGTTTATTTAAAATAAAAACAGTCTGAAGTTTTTTTTAATTTAAAAAATGTTTTAAAGATAACTGATTTTGAGAAGAGAAAAAATGACACTTTAAAAGTCTTTATGAAAGGTTATAGCGAGCTTTTATTAACACCTAGTAAATAAACCAAAACAGTTTTGATTGGAGTGACACGTAATACAAAAATGAAAAAAAAAAAAATGTTTTAAAAACTTGACTTTTTTGGTACTTTTGGCCGTGAAAAAAATTTCAGGACCATTGCACATATTAAGAGATGATTATAAAATATAATACTTTGAATTATAATTTATAACTAATGATAATGTATAATTTATAAATTAAAATATGATATTAAATTATATTTGAAATTACAAATTAAACATTATTATTAACTTTTTTTTTTCCCTTATTTATTTAGTCGTACAAATATTTACAAGTTCCGTGTTTTATAATATATATAAAATGGCAAGGACGAGAAGAAGACAGGTTTACCTTATCGTAAAATCCCTTTTTGATATTGTTTTAGAATTTCTGACTTGATGAATAACTTTATAGTTTTGTAGTTGAAAATTTGAATCTTTTTCAATTTGGTTATCCCGACACCAGGTCTCTGTGAGACAAATAAATTTAAAATTAATTTCAACATTATATAAAAAATCTTTAAATTTATTAAAATTTTTTTGAAAGCTTCAACTATTTAAGTGTAAAATAGAGAACTCATTAATATCTATATCAGCAGAAAGATTAGAAATATCGGAATTATAATAAGAAGGGCATATGCTGCTAATTATTTCATCAATGTTAAAAAAATGAACCTTTGGATCTGATTGATGAAAGCATATTTTTATTTGTCTGGAAATCCTTGGAGCTTAATTTATGAAAATTCATATCTTCCATAACAAAAAGAAAGGTTATACTAACAAAATGTTTAAAGTATAAAATAGTTAAAGTTTAGTAGGTAATTTCCTGAATTATTTTACTATTTATCGTAAATTAAAACCATTTTTCCTATGTATCTTCATTTGCTCGAGTAGTTGTTTATGGGAATATATACCAATGAGTTATCCTCATTGATATATATTCCCAATCCTTTTAGTTTACTCGCACTTTTACTTTATCTTTGTAATTTAACAGTTTCATTACTATTGGTCTTGGTCTACCTGCTTCAATTTTTCCTGACCTGTGCGCTCGTTTAATTACAATTCCTTTTGAATTAAGTTTTTCTTCAAAAATATTTAATACCTTCAGTTCGGTGTCATCCCAATTTTCCTTTTCGTTTTCCGATAAACCCTCTAAAAGAAGATTATTCCTGCTTTGTCTTCAAGCTATCTTCAAGCTATCTTTGTCTTCTGTCTATCTTCAAGCTGCCTTAGTTTATTATCTTCCATATATCTGCTTCCTGATTTTGATGAGATTTTTTTTTCTAAATTGAGATTTTTTTTTCTAAACTGAGATTTTTTTTTCTTGCAAGTTTTGTGTAAAGTTCAAACTTTCTTCTATATCTTTTTGCGCAATTTCATTTTTATTTAATGTTATAACGTAACTTTTTTTGTTTCTCTTTAATTAATATGTTTTCTTTTTGGAGTGTCGCACACAAATCTGTTACTGTAGGATTTATTTTCTTATAATTATCATGCTTGCAAAAACACATCAAAACACATCATACTTTGAATATAATAATGTTTTGAGTTTTAAAAGACGAATTTTCGAAAAAAAACAACATTCTATGTAATATAAATTAATACCCGACATAAAATATGAGATATAAAATAAATTTGTTATTTAAAATATCATGTTTCTTATATATAAAAACCTTATTTATCATAAAACTCAGTATAACATAGCATACAATATCGATTTGTATATTAGAACATCATGGGGAAAAGGCGCCTATGATGGCATCCTTAACTTTGAAGCTTCATTATTCAGTATCCTGAAAACCAAGAACAAAAGTTTTTATATGGACTCTTTGTTACATGTAGAACAATAATAACTCAAGAAGTTTTCATCAGTTTTATTTTTTTATTAGCTATTTTTATTTAACTAGTCTCATACTTTTTCAAAAATTTGATTTTTTTAAAATAACTTTAGACTAAAATTTTATGCAGATTTTGAATCTGCAAAAAAAATTGAACACTTTTTTATAAGTTTTTGCTTAATTTATGTTTTTTAGAACTCAAATGAAAAATATTTGCATAGCAACGCGTTGCTATGGGGCGAATATTTTTTGTACTCCAGGACAGTACTTCAGGATAAGTTTGAGAAACAGTACTCCAGGATAAGTTTGAGAACTTATCCTGGAGTACTGTTTCAAATATATGCTTTGATTTATATCTTCTTTGCTAATTAATATTCTGTTCCTTATTATATTCAAACATATTCAAGCACTGATTTGGGTGTACATACTCAAACACTGATTTGGGTGTTATTTTGAACAAAAATATTAATGATTGAGTAAAGCAGAGAACAAATTATCACAAAAAAAAAAGAGGATTTAAGGTGAAGAAAAATGCATGTAGTGTAACTTACATTTACTTACGTTGTAAGTAAATGTGACTCTAATGACAGAAATAGTTTAGGCGCATCAGCTAAAAAAAATAAAATTTATTACAAATGTACCAAGTAAAAACACAAAAAAATTACTGGTTACAGAATTATAGACACTAAAATTTTATCTAAAGTTCTTTCATTGTTATTGTGTGCTAAAAGTGAAAAGTGTACCTAGTGTACCCCTTTGTGCACTGTACCTAGATGATCATCAGAGAAAAAAGAAAGGCAACGTTGCTATATTTAAAGTGTACTACACTACCTTGTGACTATAAAGGGTTTGATATTAAGAACAGGACAATATATGCAATGAGAGTCTTAGGCCATGGTCATACTGGGATTGAAAAATTTACTCAGCTCATGAATCTGCCAAAACCCATGACATCCAAAAACTATACAAAAATTACAACAAAAATAAAAAACATCGTGAAAAGTATTGCAAACGGAACCATGTCAGATGCTGCAACTGAAATGAAAAAAAATGCAACTAGTGAGGATATCGTTGATGCTGGTGTATCATGCGATGGATCTTGGCAGAAAAGAGGATATCAGTCAATGAAAAGAGTTTTTAACGCAATTTTAATAAGTAGTGGAAAAATAATCAAAGTTGAACCTATGAATAAATCATGTAAAGCTTGCTGTATGAAGGAACAATTAAAAAAATTAAATCCTGATGCATATGCTAATTGGAAAAAATAACATATTTGCTTGTACAATTATCAAAGGACAGCTGGTGGTATGGATCGACGCAGTAAGCGTTTTTAAACGTTCCATCGAAAAACAAAAGTTAACACTCAATTTTTTGGTGATGGGGATAGTAAAACCCATCCTTCTATCAAATATATATACCCAACATGGAGGTAAAAAAGTTAGAGTGAGTAGGACATTACCAAAAACGAATCGGTACTCGCTTACGCAAGTTTAAAAAAAATGTTAAGGGTCTAGGTGGTCGTGGTCGACAAACCAATGCAGTTGTTGATTGCTTGCAAAAAATTTTTGGTGTAGCTATCCGGAGCAATACAAATGATCTGAATAAAATAAAAAAAAGCAGTATTAGCCTTTTCCATGTAGCTTTTTCTAAAGAAAATAACTATCATATTTACTGGCCAACTGGAGGTGATAGTTAGTGCAAATTCAAGCAGAAACAAATTATATTTAATTTAAAAGAAGTACAATCTAATCTAAATAAAATATATCAAATTACACTATATTTAATTTAAATTAAAAAATTGACGAGCAAAAGTTTTTTTTTAATATCATAACCGTAGTGGTCATTAAAATGTCTTGGTTTGCATTTTACCCACTACCTCATGAAAATTTCATTTCTCAGTTATAATAAAATCACAATCACAAATATTTTAAGGGATCAAAATTACATCCCAAAATCGATTTTTGTTGATTATAAAAGCAATAATTGTGCATAAGGGACGTATTTTTATAAAAACTATTGTAAAATTTCGCCATTAAAAGTATATGTTCGCTTGCTTTCATAGCTTTGAGTTACTAAACTTGATATTAGAAAATATATTTTATGACGTCATTACGTTACTTAAGCGTGTACAAAATAATTCATTTTATTTTTTATTTAATATAGAGTTTTAAATTCGATTCTTATAATTCAGCTCAAAAGGGTCTTCTACAGTGTTATAAATTTGATTTTCATCTTTCAATCTAAAGTTTAATAACTTTTTGCATTAATTTCCTGATATCGCTGTGCAAATAATTTTTATTGCGCAACATAAGTATCGTCACTTAATAGCGAAATGTATCGATAATAGCGAAATGCATCGATAATAACTTGAAAAACTTTTGATTCTATTCAAATGATGCAATTCGCTGTCACAAATCTTATTATCACTGAATTATGCACTTCTTTTGACCCAATCATAAGACAACAGCTGCAATGCATTTGGTCGTATTTTCGGGTCACTATAACAAAAATAAAATACATTTCCTGTTCCTAAAAAAACGTTTAATAAAAATTTAGCATTAAAAAAAAGCAATTTTTTAATGCGAACTAAACAAACATTTATGAGAACTTTTTAAAAAAAGTTTAAAAAAATAAAAAAAATAAAAAATTTTGTTTTCTGATTACCGTTGAAAACAATCATTCACAAATGTTATGCATGAATTAGATGAGTTATCAGGCAGATGGGGTATGGTTGGACTAGAAGCAATTTGGAACATAGCTGGCGTAGGATCTAAATGAGACCATGGCGGCTTTGTTGTTAGCATTTCAAGCACAGTACATCCGAATGACCTGTTTATAAAATATACTATATTGGTTATTGTTATAATCAATGTAATTATTAAGCATAAAATAATGTTATTGAATAATTTAAGTAAAAAATTTAAATGTTAAATGTTAAATTTATGTTTAACTAACAAATTTAAATGTTAAACCAGAGTTTATTGCAAGTAAAAAAAATCATTTATTATATTACACATATAAATTAGATAGGTACAAAGATAAAACAATAAAATTTGCTATTGTTATTTGTGCAACTTAGGTTACTAACACAAACACTTATACTTATCCATTGCCAATCTAATTTAAAACTCGAGATCAATAATGTCAAAAATTTCAGTCTATGTTCTACTTTGCCTACAGTAAAATACGTTTTATGTTCTTTTCTCTAAAAAAGATTAAAGAAATTTTTATTAATTAAGAAGCCTTTAGCTATAATGTAATGAAATATAAGAACCGCACCACTTGTTGTGTCGAATTTGTTAATTTCGCCTGCCTACTTTTAAGTCTAACATGAGGATAATAATTAACACTTTAAATTGTTATATTATATTTTACTTTATTGAAAAAACATTCATGGTGAGTTAATAACTGATCGCATATATTTTATGCACAAAATTTTTTTGCACAACAAAAGTCTTTATAACCATGACTTTTATGAAAATTTAATGAATATACGCAAAATTAAAAACATATTACACATACCATGTTAATACTCGCCCCAAAATGAAAAAATTTGTAAATTTTACATTGTTATAACTTTCAAACACTAAAAAATTATTAAATGAAATTTAAAAAATGTCAAAAATTTGAACTTGGTAAAAGAAAGTAAAATAATAATATTTTATTAACTCTTTTAATTAACTTATTTTTTTACTATATTTATATTTCCTATATTTATATATTTATATATATACTACATTTATATATATTATATTTATATATACTATATTAGTGTGTTTATCTCTTATTATTAACTTATTAATAATTAAAATAATAATATTTTATCAACCATTACAGTATGAATGAAGTAAGAAGAGGTAGTGGAGGAGGGGGAGGGGGTTGGAAGTGGGAGGAGGTGAAAAGGAAGATGAAATAACAAAAATATATTTTACAAGAATTCAAAGAAACTATTGCTTTTACAGCTAGAATTAGGGGTGAGCAAAAACGGATATCCGGTTCGATTTGTTGAAATCCGAATCCGATACCGAATTTTCGGATAGCTAAAAATCTGAGCCGATTCCGGTTCCGATTTTATCGGATATCCGCTACATTCGGATCGGAAACCGGATTTATCCGAATCCAAATTGGATAGTCTTCTGCTTTTGCAAACATGTTGACTAGTTTTTTTTTTTTTATTTACTTTCGAGCTTAATACAAATGGATGTGAGAATAAAAGTAGTGGTGGGAATTTTAGTCATATCTATTAAACGAGGAGGGAGGTGTGTTTTACCAAAAGTGTTGGTGGAAATTTTTTGTTAAATTTAATTTTAATTTATAGACTGACTTAAGCTAGGGATGGGAGGGAATTTTTCTGAAAATCAATAAACGTCCTCTACCGTTAATTAGGCACGCAAGAGTACACAGTTAGCAATTCAACTCACAAAACTGCAACAATAACATTAAAGTATTTAACAGCCTGAGTGTACAAAAAAAACATTTGTTTAAGCGAGTTCATCACACCTCATGTGCAAAAACTTTCCATCTAAAACACTACACTCCCAGTGATTAAACCGTCGTTTTAGATAATCAAGAGCAACTTCATTAGAACTTGCATTATCTACTGTCACATTCAAAATGTTTTTAATTTCCCATTCATTTAGACACTTTTTAACTGCCCTACCAATAAGCTGTCCAGAATGACCCGCAATTGGGCAAAAATTTATCACTCTTTTACACAAATCCCAATTATCATGAGCAGTGAGACACATATAACTCAGATTTTGACCAGAAGTCCAAGCACCAGTTGTTAAGCAGATTCTAGAAGACAACGTCTTAAAATAATCCATTAACTTCTTCTTTTCCTCTATAAAAATAGTGTAACAATCTTTTGCAGCAGTGAAACGTGAAGGAATTATAAATTCGAGATGCATGGACTAACAAAATAAGCGAAAACCATCTGCATATTTAGAAGTCTCTTGATTGAATATCCACGGTTTCAAGATACTAAAAGTCTCAGTAGATCCGTCTTTATTGCTTAAGTTTAGGGATTCGAAGGTCAAGATTCTTTGCTTTTTATCTAAATTAGCAGGGAACAACTTGCACCTCTCTGTATGATTAGCTAAACATGTGGTCTCGTTATTAGAACTACAACCGATTAATCTGACAATAAACACACATAGCCAAATGTGGATCATCTGTTTTTTCATAATGATCCCACCATGGAGAAGCATTTTTTCTTTTATGAGAAGAACTTTTACCAGCTTTGGAAGCTTTTGGTGTTTTTTCGTTCCGACCAGATAAGTTTTTGGAAATCTTCCTACTATTTGTCAAAATTTCGTATTTAGTCTGCTTATGTTGTTGGTGGCTTGGCTGTTGATTAGATTCGTCCATATCTAATAAATTCACTACATCAATGAAACTTTAAAGACTTTATTCTTAGCCTGCGTAAAAAGTAAAAACATAAATAAAATTTTGATTCATATAAATATAATATTTTGAAATTGAAGAATGCACAGAATCTGGATAACACATGTAATGCAGAAAGTATAAAAAGGAATTTTCAAATATAACGTGTTAAACTTGAGATGATTCTATATTACAAACTTGCAAATTTATGTATAAATTGCTAATTGTAATGTTTCATGTTCTTTTTTTGTTTTTCAACTACAATTGAGTTTAGCACTACGGCTTATATAAAATTTGCTCGTTAGTTATTAGTCTCTTGGGGAATGCTTTTAGGCTTATAGAATGACACAAGAAATAATTGCTAGCAATTGTTTTTCGTGTAATTCTCCAAAGGGAATTACTAATTCCGCAATCGCTAACTGATAGTTAGAAAATAATGTTTAAAGGGAATTGTTTGCATAACAATCATTACACTAATATCGGTTCAAAGTTTTTGACTATGAAAATCAAATTCAATGGATAAAAAACATATTAGTATACATCGTACTTGCCTTCGGTTTAAAGTTCTTCTAAAAACTTTGAGTCAGAAAATAACAAGACTGTTGATAAAAGATAAAAATGTTTTGTTTGTATTTTTCTCTAAGCAAATTCAATAAATATTATGTACTAGTTATAACGCAATAAATTAAGAATCAGTCCATTAAATGCGCAATTCTTGCGTAGGTGGCAGTGTAATCATTTATATTCACAATTCTATTTATTTCATCATACTTGAAAATCTCCATGTAATTAATAGAGATTTTGAGTCGTTAAGCGTTGATATTATAGGTTATTTTTTATATATGTGCAATAAACCGGATAGGATCAGGATATTTGATTTAATAACAGTTCATAATCCGAATCCGTTTCAGAATATTAAAAGAAAAACGGATCGAATAACCGGTCTTTTTCCGGTTCGGATATTCAAATTTTCGGATTTTTTAAAAAGGATATCGGACTGGAAATTCGGATATCCAATTTTTTTGATATTTTTGCTCACCCCTAGCTAGAACTCAAAAATGAGGTAGGGAGTGGGAAATGGGATTTATAACTTGAACAAATTCATAGGAACTATATAAATTATAATTTACATTAAAAATAATGGAATCAGGTCATGCTAGACAGGGATAAGTCACAAAAATTGAAAACTGATTTAATAATAGTTTTGATGTTTCAAGAATAGGTTTCAACTATTTATGATAAAATTAGACATGTCAGACACTTGGTTACTACAGTAACTAATTGGAAGAGAAACACTATAAAAGTTGCTAGAATAAAAGATGAAGAATTTGTAGTGCTAAAGAAATTCTGTACTTCAAAAGTACTTTGGATTGCTCTGAAGGTGAGTTATTTTGTATTCTATGGTACGAATAGCTTTACAATCTATTTTCACAGATAAGATATGTATGTATACAGATAATATGCAGTGTAAAAGTATTTTTTGTTTTTTTAGCTGCAAGAGGAACAACTGTCTTGAGACAATTAACGAAGATGATAAAATAAATATATTAAACCATTTAAACACCTACAACACTAAAGAGGAGCAGGATTTGTTCATAAAATCATTAATTTCGAAGAAATAAAGCAGATACAACCCAGGAAGGAAAAGAATTGCTTAACCATAAAACCACTCTATCAAAACCCACCATAATGTGATACTTAAAGCTACCTTTAAGTATCACATTATGGTGGGTTTTGATAGAGTGCATGTAAGTTTTAAAGTTTTTTTAAGTTTACATATTATTGCAAAAAAACGAATTAAAAAGATTGGGAACTTTGAAAATGAATGGGAAAAGCCCGGTGGATAATATAGGACATCAAATAAAAGAAAAAGCATCGCCTCAAGAAATCAAACTTTTTATAAGACAGCATATTGAAAGCTTTCTAACTAAAGAAAAACTTGGTAAACCAATATGCTGTCTAGATGCCACTTTAAATGTTAAAACTATGTATAGGCTGTTTAAAGAAAAATACTTTTCAATAAAAAGTTGGCAAAATGAAGTTTTTCCACTGTGGAAGGCCGAAAATTATATGGTAGATATAGATATGGTAGAAAAGACATGGTACACTTGCAAAGAACTAAATTTAAAATTATGAAGTCCTTGTCTCAATAAGGCAGCAAAAAGATAAACTCAATCTGAAATTAATGTACATAATTGAAAATCAAAAAGGTTTTATGATTGAATCCGAAAATACGCCGATGACAAGAACAATAGTCAAATTTCATCGTGTTTTGACATGCAGAACATAAAGCTACAAAAAAATAACAACAAGAAACCTTCTATATGAGGCAAATTTAAGTAAATTTTTTATATGTTTTCATAACAATAAATATAACAAAGCAAAAATTTTTGTTTACCACCAAGGCAAAGCAGGCAAGGGTTTAGATGTAGTTGATCCTTTCT